TGTGTATTGACATGCAAGTGTTTAGCATGCCTTCCTTTTGATGTCACATTTTGTATACCATAGGTGTATGGTACTTTAGAAGCTTATTTAGCTTTCTTGACATGTAATGATACTTAAGTATTTATATTTGACATTATAAGTATGTATGTAAAGAGGCTAAGGGTCAAGCATGTTCACTTTTGTACTTGTACTCTTTTGGTATCAACCTTTTGCTCCAAGATGTATTTGAAATAATTTTGGAGGTTTGACATATAAAAATCTTGTAATTGATATGTATGAGGCCATGGGCCATTGTTTTACATTTAAGTATTCATATCAAGGTTGTTGGCATATCCATACACTTGAATTTCAATGAAAAATCAGTTTTACACATTCATCTTGAACCAAATTGTCATGGGATTCAAAGTATAGGTTGAACCTTAGCACCTTGGACTCATAACAGGTTTTCCAGTAGCATTTCGAGGTGTTTCGGTTGACCAAAACTCCATTTCGGTCGACCGATGGCAATTGGATTTGTCTATGCGCAGTAATTCATCATTCCAGTAGCCAATTCTACTGTTCAAAGCCTATTTCGGTCGACCGAAACCTTATTTCGGTCTACTGAAACAACCAGCACTTAAATTCATGTTTTCAGCAATTTTTTTGGTCATTTCGGTCGACCGAAACTCCATTTTGGTCGACCTAAATAGCTTTCATACTCCAACTTCTTCAGTTCAGTTTCAGCACTGCTGTTCCGACTTTGAATGGCCATATCTCCTTCATTTCTTATCCAAATGGGGTGATTCTTGAGCCTAAACTCAAGGATTTTGAGTCAGCTTTCCAATGGTACCAATTAAATCCTCAGATTCGAAACAAAATGAGAGATATTCATGTTTTAGTGAGGTAGGGTCAGTTTCCACTTAAACCGGGAAAGGGCATTTTGTGGGATTCTTGGCCAATGTTCTTAGAACCTCTTGGAATGTTGTGAAATGGTTAGATTAGGTTGTATTCACCTTGTTTGACTTGTTTAGAATCAATTTTCTCCTTTTAAATTGTGAATTGACCATTTTGCCTTTTACTGACAAATTTTGCCTGTTTTAACTCTAGTTTCCTCTTTTGCTCACTTTAACTTCCGTGACCTCATGGAATGTCACATTGATATCTTAGAGATGGTTTTTATTTCAAGGGACTATGGTTTCATTTTTTGCTTCCGCATTTCGGATCCGTTATCGGGTCAACTTTCGAGTCATCACTGAAGCACCGAGTTGAGAAACTTGGGCCGTCACAATTTGATTGTGCCTATTTCGAAACCTAAATCTTTTGTTGGGTCTTTGCTTGATAAGCATGTGTCTAATCTGCTTTATTGTTCTTATTGTGGTAGAACTGGACATAGTCAATACTATTGCTATAAAAAGAGAAAAGATTATTTTTTAGAATTTATTGGTTATAATTCATTTCCACGGATTATTTTTCATGCTAGAAAGAAAAATAATTGGAATAAACCTAAAAATTCTCATGCTAAAAGGAATTCAAATAAGAAAATGACTTTTGTTGGTTTTTCTCAAAAATCTCTTCAAAGGTCGAATGTGAAGACAATTTGGGTGAAGAAAGAGGATTTGAAGTTTTATGTGTCTGTTGATGCCATGTAACTTGTTTCCAATAGGTATTTGGGTGCAAACCCTTTGAGTAAATTCTAAGGAGTTTTTATAGTCATAAACTATGTTTTGTTGTCTATCATGTTTCCATTTGACCATATCTTGTAGTTTAGGATTTGGGTTGGTCTTCTTTTTTTATTATTATTTTTTTTTTTATGAATGAATGAAAAGATCATGTTTTCTTTGTTTTATACTAGTGATATTTATTTCTCTTAAATTCACTATATTTTTATCAATGCAAATTGGGACACATGATTGTTCAATGAATGAAGTTCTTAATATGTAATCTATATTTCGAAAGTCGATTTGCTATGTTTAGAGATGAGTCTCTTACGTTCATATTTTTCACGTGCACTAGTCCAATTCTGAGAAAATTTAATTGAAAATCATTATGAAAGTTGACTAGGTCATATTGCTCATAAAAACTATAAAGGTTATGCTAAAAAACAAATGAGCATGTGTTTTAAAAATATATATATATGAAAATTTCAGCATGTAAAATAAAAGAAAAATCAATATTGTTGAAAATCATAGCTAAAGAAAATGCTACCTATTGAGATTAGTTCGAAAGCCCCTACTAGACTTTAAAGTGTAGTAAATTGCTAATAAAAAAAATAAAATAAAATAAGAGGAGACAAGTCAAAATAGGTAATTGCTTTCTACTCTTTAGAGTGAAAGCCACCTTGCTTTAGAAAAGTGGGAAAAAAAATAAATTGAGCTTAAAACAATTTTATCTTGATATTTTTTTATCCAATGTGCTTTAGATGATTGATCAATGAAATTTGATGATTTTTTTATGATGTTGGATTGCCTACGCACACATGAGCTTGTTAGGCAAATTATCATAAATATTTGAGCACAATATCCTCACCAATGAGGATGAGAAAATTGTGGAGTAATGATATAAAAAGAAGTTGAATGAGAAAACTGCAGAGTTCATAAATATTTGAGCACAATATCCTCACCAAAGAGGATGAGAAAATTGTGGAGTAATGATATAAAGAGAAGTTGAATGAGAAAATTGTGGAGTTGCTTAAGATTCGATCAGTTGACAAATATCCTCACCAAAGCGGTTTTAAGTCAAGTGTTCTCAAAGTTTTTTGACAAGTTAGGCATGTGTGACATCTATGCACCAACTTGAGGGGAAGTGTTGAGATATTGAGTTAATGTCAACAATGATTCTTGAAATTATTATTCTTGCGATTCGTTCCTATTTTAGAAATAATATAATTATACATTAGGTGTGGACAGATTCTTTAGAGATATAACTTGATTGTAGGACCTAAACTAATGATTTGATTATTATATATGTACCTGTACAAATTATTAAATTGAGAATAAGAAAATATTCTTCTAAAAGTTTTATTCTCAAGTGTATGTTGGACATGTTAGGGTGTGAAATTACGATGTCACCCATCTTTTGATATTACTAATTTTTCCCTACAAATAGGTAAGGGTTAAATGGAGTGCCTATAACCATCTCTGCAAAAACCTTCACCACAAATCTATTGTTCCAAACTCACTAATTTGTTACTCAAGTAGTTTCGGCAAATTGGTTTGGCATTCGACTACTAATTTTACTTTTAGATGCACACAAATCATATTACAAAATTAATAGACAAAATTTGACTCAACTCTAGAGCCAACCAATACAGAATAGGATTTCTTTGGACTTGACAGTCATGCTCTCAAGGTTTGCTTCCCTGGTGTGATGCCATGATTATTTTATTTTATTTTTTATTTTTTTATATACTCGAGTCACTCTCTCGAAATTTGATGACCTCATATGACGTCATGACTTTATTTGAACTTGAGAGTGTATTTTTCTTATCGAGGGTTTTGGGCACGTGGGCATTCTTGACTTTTCAAAGAGAGACGTTCTTCATTGACCATACTGGTAATACTTGCTTGATTACAATTACACTCTTTAACAATAGTCATGTGACTTTCGCACAACCAATTTCACCGGTAAGAGTTTCATGCAACATTAGTTTAAAAGAGTTTCATTGCCCACTTGGATAATAGTTGAAAGGAGTTTTCTAAACAATAAATCCTAATAAAATAATAACAAATAATTAAAGTAGCTAGTAGGAAAAATCAAGTATCCTTCCCTTTGATATTCGACAAATTTGACTTATAGCTAATACAATAGAATGGAAGCTGGCCGTTTGGAATCAGTTCCGAACCCATTAACATTCACTATCAGATGTGGTGGTCAGACTAGCCCAGAGATTTGTTCACAGAATGGAAAGGAAGTTATCTCTTCCCAAATACTCCAACATCCAATGCATTTTACTTCAGGATGAGTCTTTCATCTCGTTCAGGGAATTTCTATCACCTGTCCACCTGCATACTGGTGCTGACAAGCTGCTGGTGGGAGGAGAGTAAGTTCACTGCATACTGGTGCTGAAAAGCTGCTGGTGGGAGGAGAGTAAGTTCACTTTCAAGCAGGCATGGTTTAGCTGCAGAGACTCCTATGACAATGTTTTGTGGCAAGAGAAGGGGCAGGCCTAGATGGTCTGTAAATGCTGCGTAGCATGCAGAAGTGGAAAATGCAGACTGTTGTCATGCTATGGATGATAGAGATCACTTATTCTCCTCCTGTCCATTTGCTTAGACTATTTGGAAATGGTTAGGGGAGATGCCTGAAATGGGAGATGCCTCACCTTAATGACAATAAACTCATGGAATGGTCTGCTTGGTACCGGCAGAGATATAACCAGTATTGCTACCATTTGGAAGTTATGGCAAGAGAGGAATGCTCGGCTTCATGGTGCTTATCACAATATTCCAGAAGATGTGAAGAAATGTGATGTTTGAAGTTCTGGAAGTTCATAATGCTTCTGTTAATGAACTCTCAATCTTGGATTGTTTATGATTTCCTGTGGAAGTGGCCTTCTCATTATAGAAAATACAGTCTCTCTTAGTTTATGAGGATACGCCCTCTGTGTACCTGTAATGTTTTCTTTCTTAATAAAACATGAAATAAAAAATGAAACATTCACTCTCAGATCACCTTGACATGCAATAGGTTGGAAGCTTCGGAGGTTCACTAATATGATCAGAGAAGGCTACTTTTTACTTTTATTTGCCAAGCAGATGCGTATAAAATTCATGCACCCAATACATTCCAATTACAACATAGGTTCACCTCTACATGTTCAATGATTTGTGAATGTAAATTTTTTTTTTTAAGAAAGGCTATGTAACCTAGTGGTACCTCCACACATTTCAATGTAGAATGTCAGGGTTCAAGTCTCCATAGGAGCAAAAGTAAGTGTGAGCATGTTTCTTCTTGCCTTCTAAGAAGAAGAAAAAAAACAAAAAAAAAAAAATTTGCTTAAATTTTTCTCAATCCTTGCAGTCTAATCAAATATATTATATAAAAATAAAATAAAAATAGTAATTAACATGTAAGTATCAACACAAAATTTCCTTAGTAAAGAACTGGAGCTTCTCCCCATAAATGAAGTCAGGCTCTTGAAATAAATCCAAACAAAGAGTTGGCAACAAATTCCAGCTACTGCTATGCACAAGACAAATGACACTTAAATACATGCATGAACCACCAACACAAGAACACCAGAGATTATCTACACACCCAAAATGCAGGGATTATACTGTGAAAGAATCATATTTTGATTCTAATGACTTTTTACAAAGGTTTATTCCTACATGGTAGCCAGAAACCGATTCCAGCATCCATCAAACCATGATTATCAGTCCTCCAAAGAACTGGCAGTATACGAGGGTTTAAATACACAATGGTGAAGGAAGAGCAGCCTGCATCTTCCACGTTCCTTTCTCCGTCACCTGGAGCGACTCAGACATATGACTTCTCTGGTGAGCATGACTATGTATGACCTGCATCACACAAGTGCCATAAATGTTTAAGAAAAGAAAAGGGTAACTAGTTAAGAGACCAATAAACATGGAAAGTAAAATTGGAGTGTCATGTTCCAATCCAAAACTTGAATTGTCAGAGAAAAAAATCTGACACCAACCTTAGGTACAGACCACATACACAAATTCAACCTAACTACTCCTTCACACATTCCAATTGACAAAAAGACAAATAAATTTATGCATTTGCTTCACTTAATTTCATGGTTTATCTTCCCTATTGAATTTTTCTGAGCGCTCGATATGTGAGGGGAAGAAGGATTAGGGATCTAGCATGTAACTATCAGTTGTCGGAATCAGAGCAGTAAAAAGAGACAACGGCTTATGATCTAATGAATGATATATGGCTCTAGACAGAGCTGAATGGAAAAAATATTTGTGCAATCCTTCTCTTATTACGATCTAACATTTTCTTTGAGATGTCAAGTACACAGTATATACTGCTATGGCATCCAGCTGCTTTGTTTTTCCTTTAATTTTAAATATAATAAATAACATACCTGGATGTAAGAGGATTGATCTCAATATATCAATGGGAAATCTTTAGGTAAGGCTTCATGAGTTAGGCTAGGGTGTTTACCAAAAACTTGGACCGTAACAACCCTAGGGTGCAGTGAAAAGCAATAAACGATATCCACTAAATTCTGTGCAAATTTTAAATGGCATTCATTACCTAATTATAAATATTTTACTAATTATAAGCTTCGTTGTTCATCCAAAAAAATTTACAGTTTGAAAGAAGCAAGTCGTTTATTCATCGTCACCATCATATAGTAACAGTAGATGAAAATAATGGTTTGTCAGTTTCAGATTTTCAAGTATTCTCAATTTCTCATGAAAAGATACAGAAACATTTCTATGAATATGAAAAAGAAGAGAAAACACTCTTCCATTTAATAATGCACTTCAACATTGATTTTTGTTCTAATTTAGCGAGGGATCTTTGATAAGGGTGAAAACCCTTTTATTTCTTAAAGAAACAGATTCATGTATCATTCACTAACTGCATAAAAAGCAGCTTATTCAAGCTTTATTTTTTTCTTTTCTTTTTTCTTTATTTTTATTTTTTGGCATTTTATTTTTCAAACCTACGTACAATTACTTGAAATTTAATGCATACTTCCTTTTTGTTGCTCTGATTTAAGAGTGATAAATATCAAAAATTATTTATATAACTGGACTCAAAACTCCAGAGAGCTGCATGTCTAGAATCTAACTTCTGTTACTGCCTTTCTAAAGTAAAGTTTCTTCTAGGACATTTTCTTTGTTTGTTATCAATTTATATTATATATTGCAGTATCTTACTCAAAAATATTCTGACTACTCTTTAACTTTTTCGTGTTTTTTTTTTTTTTTTTTTTTTTTTTTGGTTGGGGGTAAGTATTTGAGTTACATTAAAGTTTAAGCCATTTTGTGTGTGTATTATTTATTTATTTATTTTTTATAATTAAACAAATTTGTGTGATGATGACATATGTTTATGATATGCATGACCATATTTGATCTGATCGAAGCCCTTGCATTTACATATGTTTTATCATAAATAGAAAATAATAATAATAATAATAATAATAATAATAATAATAATAAAGGAAAAAAAAAAAAAAAGAAAGAAAGAAAGAAAGAAATAAGGGTATTTCTGACATTTTATTTTGGGTCCAATTGGTTCATCTTTTGTGCTCCAACTGTGAGAGTAGACTCGTATTACCATTTCTCCACATTAAGTACCATACAAGTGTTCTTTCTTTATAACATTCATTTGCAATGGGCAAGATAGGACTGTACCTCTAGAATGCGAAATGAATAATTTGCAAGGCTAGATCCGGAGTCTGCCACTCAAGTAGCAGTACCGCTGCTCTTAGTCCTGCTGCAATCTAAGGATACCTGTAATTAATGTTAAAACAAAGATCCATATCAATAAAATCACACTGGTGGCAAGAACAGGCAAAACAACATAGAGAATTCAAACCCCAAAATTGACTGGCACCACTCACCTTGATCAACCCATCACCCTGCTGTTTGGTCAGAACCGCTACCTTGCATGAACTGAGGAGTAGCAGGAACTATGAACTGTGGTTGTGCTGGGACAGGTGCTGCAATGCCTGATAAAGCAAAGGTACTTGCCTAATTAGGACTACCTATTTGATTTTTACCTACGTACATAATTAAAAGAAACCTCAACTATGTCCCCTTCCTCCTAATCATTCTTTGTCATAAATATATTTCTAAACGTGCTAAAGGGTGTGAGAGATCTAAAAAATCCCTTTTCAGGAGTTAAGACCTGTTCACCCGAAACTAGTTTATAGCTTTTATAATTATGCACACACGCATGTATGCATATGGTTCATGCATTGACTTTAACAGGAAAAAAACAAAGACAGTTTTCAAGAAAAGTAGATTCTGCCTGTAGGATATGGTGCCTGAATTGTAGGAACAGGTGAAGTTGTTACTCCATTGACACTAGGTCCACCAAATTGCACAATCTGATGACCTGGCATTGCATAGCCCTGCACTGCTGTATAACCCCGACTGCCAGGAATAGTCTGACCCAGTTGGCTATAAGGATACATTGCTGAGTTAATTGTTCCAGGTACGCCATATAAATGAAGGTATTGCTGACCCACATAAGGATTGTAAACACCCTACCAGAAAGATGATAACAGACATGCAGTTGGAGCAGTTAACATTGCAAGAATAATGCAGTATTCATTTCTAGACCAAATAATAACAACAGCAAAAATAATAATAAACTTCAATTGCTGCTGCCATTTTGGAGCAATATTGACCTGTTGGTAGACGTAGTCAGGACCATATGTCGCTGTGTACCTGCACAAATAAAACCATTGCATCTTTTTAGAATATTAGAATCTGGATATAGAATGAAAATGTATCATGGACAAATGATTGTCAACTACCATCTACTCCAAAAGCTTAAGCTATTTGAGAGTGTGTAACTTAAATATCTAAATCCTTTAACATGCCCCCTCACATGTGGCCTTCTTTTTGTCCAACACGTGTTTTAATTTTAATTATCACTATCCCGGTGAGGTTTGAACTCAGGACCTTGCTTGCTTTGATACCATGTTAACTACCGTCTACTCTAAAGGCATAAGCTATTAGAGAGGGTATAACTTTAATAGTTAAACCCTCTTAAAATGATACTGCAAGAAGAAAAACAATATAATAGACTCATGATTCATCAAATTGAGAGGATCCAGATTCCTTATTGAACCATAGAATAATGTGGTCCTACTGAAACCATGAGCTATGCAGTATCTAGCAGGGGTCATGAACAATAAATTCAGAATGGCGATGACCTTTACAAATACCACTAGATAGTATTACATTTTTCTTACTTTTTTCAATTAGTTAGTGTGCTCCTATGAGCAACCACTAGTTAGCCAAGGCGGTATTGTATGGAAATTGAAATGGCAGAGTTCAAGCCTAAAATGGAACATGAGTAATTCAGTGTGTGCAGCATATGATTTATATTTAGGGAAACTACCCAAAAAAAATAGATAGATAAGTGAAGTGCTCTCCTATGAGCAACATCTTGCATTTAATATGTGCATGAAAGGTAAACTCAAGAGGATACCAAGATTAACAACCTAATTGATGCAATACTCATTTTTCTTCCTGTCTGGCCAGTGGCTCCTACCAAAGGAGCCATTTCATGCTTAGCAGCTGCATGAAAAAAAACTTGGGAGAATGTCGAGCTTAACAACCCATTTGATGTCATTTCACTTTCCTTTCCTGTTCTCTATCTTATCAGTCCCCTGATAATGATTTTTACCTGTTCAAAGCTGAAGATTGAGATGGGCACATACCATACGGAGTTAGAACTTTAGGCATTCCTGCATTACCAACTAAACCACAACACATCACTGTACTTCGTACTAAATCAATCCTGAACTTCTACTGAATGACTAAACACTCCGAAATGGTGTCACCTGTTATTGTTATGCAAGAATTGCTACAAAATAGCAAGGGGAATTACTTTCTCCACATGCTCAGGGTGAGGTTTTGGGTTTTGACTGGAAGGAAAAGTAGTTGCAGAATCAATGTGTATGCTTTTTGATATTCCACTCTATCAAGTTCATGGTAGACCAATGGATGGAAATTGGCAAAGGTTGATAAGCACATTACATGGAGGCCATAGAGCTAATATGACATGCCAAAACATAAGGATTTTTTCCTGGTAAGTTACCAAAACGGTTATTACCTAATCTAATGACACATACACAGGATGCACACGTGTATCTGTTTATATTACTATGTATTTATATGCACTAACACACACATGCAATATGCATGCCTTACAATACATGCATAGAATGACAAAAACTGGGGGAGGAAAAAAAACTAATTATACTGAATCCAACCAAATATAGTAGAAAATAAATATTTGTGCGATAAAGATGCCAATAATTAATAAGTGTTCAACACCTCGAGTTCACATACTCTTCTTTCAATCCCAAGTTCATTCGTCCGGGCAATTTTTACAACACAACAAAAGACATATCAATAAAGTATCTACACTGATATGACAGCCACGGGTAAGGAAGAGGGAAGGTGAGCTCCAATTTTAACATGCCTTAATTGCTGAAGCTTCTAAAAAACACAATGTAAATATATATATATATATATATATATATATATATATATATATATATTGAACATGGTGAACTTCACATGGCAGGAATCTGGACACCGTAAATCCAGGCAACAATATCTTGCTCTATACTCAAAAATTTGAGTACCCTATGCACTATTTGCTAAGGAAACCACTCACCCATATGGAGGATACATGAACCCTTGTTGGTAGTTGTAAGAAACTGGTTGTTGGTAGCCAAAATTTCCAATGTACGCCCCCCGGGCAGCAGGCAAACTTCCAAGGTAAGGTGTTGGCGATCGAAGACGTCCTTCAAGCAACAAAAAGAGAGATAAGACATTGATGCATCATGACTTGATTGGAAGAATTATTAACTAAGAACAATGAACAGAAGCACCAGACACAAGACACGATCTTAAAAACAAGTACTCAGACACAGTGAGGACACAGAAATGATACATACATATATATATATATATATATATATATATATATATATATATATAGATATATAAAAATGATAATATTGTTTCATAATATAATAATTTATTACAGTAACATAAAATTGTAACTTACAACCACCAAGAGTTGTAGCCTAGTGGTATCTACTTTGCCTCCCAAAGATGAAGGTGAGAGGATTCAAGTCAAAGGGGGAAAAAAATGGGTGTGTGAGTTTCTTGTCAAAGGGGGGGAAAATTGTAACATACAAATCATATATTCTACAACCATCAATGTGGCATAGAAAAGAAAAGAAAAAATATTACAAGATTTTTGTTAATGTATGTAGATATGATGTCTACGTACAAATATGATTTGATAACTCCTCTTCTACTCTCACATCCCCTCTTCCAATAAAAACTTCATTTACCTTTTGTTTTGTTTTAATATTGCCAAACTTTATATAATATTATATATTAACCTTTAATTTGATTTTTCTTACAATTATACCTTTTTCCATAGTAAAATGAAGTAAGACTCAAATGGTCAGATATTAACATATAACCAATAACTAACAGACATGTTTCACTTATAAAAAAAACAAAAAAAAACTAACAGACATGTTTCCAAAATTAAAAATCTTGGGCCTGCTTGGTTTAGTTTTCTGGAAACGGTTCTCCAAAACACAAAAAACACAAAACTGTTTTCAGAGAACTATCTTTTATAGTTAACTGAGTTTTTAGAAAGCAGCTTTAGAAAAATGGACTAAGCAGAGTTTTGCACAGTTTTTTTTATTTTTGTTTTTCAATTTCAATTCTCTAAAAACTATAAACTAAACCAAGCAGCCCCTTTATTTTCCAATTATTAACATATCAGAGATGCGGTAAACTCATGTCTAGGAGTATCCAAGAAGTTACTTTGTAGGAAGTTCAATGAAAAATAAACCATTGGCAGCTCCAAAATAAAATAAATAAATATATAAAATAGTTAACAACAAATAATAATTGGAGTTATGAAAATAATGACTATGCAGGAAGTACTAACCCATTCTTGTTATATATAAAATGAGCAGGCAACATCCTAATGGTATATTTCATAAGATATAAAGATGATGAAGACGTCTGTGACTCTAATAGAGAATCTGTTCACACAGAAAGGAGGAAAGAGAGTAAATGAAATAGAATTGTCCTATCGATGTTTTCTCTTTGAGATTTTAGGAGCCCCAACAACAGCGCTAATTTGATCCCTCCATGGGTGTTTGAGTGCAAAAATGTTGTAAGAGAACACTCCCGAAGACCGAGTATTAGAACATATATTTAATGCCCAATTGCACAAGCAGAAAATGGTATGAGCAGGCAACATCCTAATGGTATATTTCATAAGATATAAAGATGATGAAGACGTCTGTGACTCTAATAGAGAATCTGTTCACACAGAAAGGAGGAAAGAGAGTAAATGAAATAGAATTGTCCTATCGATGTTTTCTCTTTGAGATTTTAGGAGCCCCAACAACAGCGCTAATTTGATCCCTCCATGGGTGTTTGAGTGCAAAAATGTTGTAAGAGAACACTCCCGAAGACCGAGTATTAGAACATATATTTAATGCCCAATTGCACAAGCAGAAAATGGTGACAGATAAGATATGATACCAGTAGGTATTGAAGGTCGAGGTCGTCCAAGTGAAGCCAAATTACAATTTGCCCGCCTACCATCAATTATTGGGGTTGGATCAACACAGGCTCTCCTTGCAGACTCGGGGTCCCGGAAAGTCACCTAAAACCTCCATACAAATACCAACAAAAACCGAGTCATTTAATTATTCACACTATTGATATTTGAATAACATCATTAGACGAACCAAGAATTGATTAAGAAACCCTTTCACATACATTGGCCTGTGCAAATGATTATTAACCTCACTCAGAATTCAACCACTATTGATAAATCACATCAGCATTTAACTGTTCTTTAATAACCACTTCAATCATGATTTGTTTGGATCATATCCAATATCACTAACCTTCATTATATCATCAAAATTTAAAATAGTAATTATTATTAATAATAATCTAAGTTTTGCTGCTGCAAATTAGAGACCATTTTGGATTTTAAACTAAACAAAGCAATGGAAAAAAACAATAGATACTCACAAAACCATAGCCTTTGGATCGGCCAGTATTCTTATCGGTGATGACAACAGCCTCGAGAATATCTCCGAATTGCTCGAAGTAGCGACGCAAGGTCTCACTCTGAGTCTCCCAAGCAAGTCCTCCCACAAACACTTTGGTGTAGGTGGTATCACCAAAAGGGGAATTCAGGAATTGAAACCCGGGACCCAAACCCGATCCCGAACTTGGACCAGGAATCGGTGGCTGATACGCCATGTAAGACGACTCAGTAGACTTCGCTTCTTCTGTTTCCAACAAAGCGAAAAAGAGAGGGAAAAAAAAAAACAAACAAACAAACAAAAAAACAAAGAGAACAACAACGAAAAGGGCTAAGGTAGATTCACCAGATAAAAAGAGAACTGAATTTGAAGGATTCAAGTGATATTAGAGTCGACCCAGTAAACACTTTGCCTCATCTTATTAGAAGAAAAACCCTGGAAAAACCCTAGATTTCAATGAAAGAGATTGACCATCCATTGAAACACTACTACATCAAGTTAGGAAAACAGAGTATGCTGATTTTGATTGGAAAGTAAGGGATCAAAGAACATAGTGATCCCATAAGAAAACATACCTATGAATCATCACAAAAGAAAAAAATTGAAAAAAAAAAAGAAAAAAGAAAACCCTAGAATTGAAGTGGAAAAAGGAAGGGATCAAAATGGTGATGCTATTGGATGTAGAACAGGCAGCAGAGCAGGGAGGGAGGGAGGGAGGGAGTGAGGGAAGGAAGGAAGGAAGGAAGGAAGGGAAAGGAAAAGGGTGGGGGAAAAGGTGAGCTGGAGAGGAAGATGATGTTGGAGAATCTTCTGGGGGTTGGGGGAGATTAATAAAAGCAAGGAAGGGAAGGGGAAGGAAAATGAGAAGGAATGATTTTATGTTCGCTTGTCCGAGAGAAAAATAATACTAATAACGGAACAAGTAGAGTAGGGAAAAATATGTATGATAACGGCTTTGCCTTCTAAAAACTCTGAATTCTCAAAAGAAGAAAGACTACCCCCTTGCACAGGGCACGTTCGGGACCCAGTTTGTCAAAACCCTAATTACTATTTGTTTTATGTTTTTTTGTTTATTATTTTGTGTTTTATTTTCGAATCGGAAACAAATTGAATTTTTATCTAAAAAGAGAGAATTCTTTCTTAGTGTTTCTATCTCCCTTCATTTTCTCTATTGTTTCTTTGATTATTAGTGACACGTAAATTAGCAGGTGTGTTCATAAAATCTTTAAAAGAAATAACAGTTCTTACTTTCTTGTTTATAATGAATAATTTCTTCCTTATAGCTTATATCATGACCCATCAACCTTTTTCATTTGGTTAGATATAATCAATCAGAAAAGAAAGGAAATAAAAAATTTTGAAATTTTTTAATAGTTTGGTTAGATAAAAGAAAAAGAAAAATTCTGAAAAAATAAGATTCTCATAACCCTCTATTTTTCTCAAAACATTTCCTGCATAAAATACGGAGAAATTTTATTTATTATTTTACACAACAACTTTATCTTATTTTTTTTACTGGATTTCAAATAATTGTAGTCCTACAATAACTTTATCATTGATAGGCTTGACTTTTATTTTTAATTACTTTCCATCATATATGAATGAAATAAATCATAGTTTACAAGGTTTAAATTAATTGAAAACTTTATTATTTTTTTTATATACATACTACTAATTAATTTTTTACTATTTTGTCATTTTTATAAAATAAGGACAATTTAGGTATATAAACTATAACATGATATTTTCCTACAATTTTCTTAAATAAAAATTTCATCTTATCTAAATACATACTAAAAAATCAATTTTTTGATCATTCACTTTACTTTTCTTTTCCTTTCCTTTCCTTTGTTTTTTTACTATTTTCATATAACCATACGAACCCTAATAAATAAGAAGACAAGTATTGTTCTAAAGAAGAAAAAAATACTCCGTACTCAGGGGCGGAGCCAGGGGGGCTGGGGGTGGCCATGGCCCCCCCTAATTTTTTGAAACTTTTTTTTAGTACAAGTAAAAATAAAAATAATATAGCATTTATAGTTTAAAATCTATATTTGGCTTCTTAAGAAAAAAAAAAAAAATTCTTTCTTTAATTAGCATTTAACAAAAGATAATTTATATATAATCTAAAGGAAAGTTATTTAAATGACTACTATAAAATCCCGATAAAAACTAACTCATATAAAAATTTAATGTGACTATTTTAAAATTTCAACTCAAACACAATTCTTTCCATAATGTGACTATCTTAACATCATTCCAACTCAATCACGATTCTATCAAGAACCATATTATCTTAAAATTTTATCTCATACATGATTCTTTCCGATCACTTTCTTTTTCTTTTTTTTCTTTTTACTTGCCAATATTATTTGATTTAAGTTAGTCAAAATTGATTTATTGTTGTTTGTTTTTTTTATTGATACATTGTAATGATTATTAATTTGTGCAAGTATTACCTAATTTCTTATTTTTTTATAAATTAAAATCTAATTGTTTAATTAATTTTTTAAATAATTTTGGCATAAATCTTATTGGTGTTTGTTCATAAAGTTTAATAAAAAGCTTATTTAAATAAATTTTTTTATTTACTTAAATAAATTGGCAAAAGTTTAAATAGATATATTTTTTTATGAATATAATAAATAGTAAAATATTTTTGCCTATGTAAGTTTTCTTTTTTTTTTTTCCAAAAGTTCTAGTTAATGTTGTTTATAATTTTGGTCCACCGACCTAAGATCCTGGCTCTGCCTGATGAAAATCTGTTAGCATTGGTCCAATCAGAACAAGATATACTAAGAAATAAAAAGTACTTGGAATACATCTTCACTACTCCAGTGCTAAAACATCTCCCATACCCAAACGGTAGAGGAAGAGTTGGAACTTATATATTAGTAAACAATATATGTGAGTAAGTTTTTTTTTTTTTTGTCAATGTAATAATACTAAATAAATAAACATTGCATCATCATGCTTGTTAGTATGAATCTAATATTTTCCCTTCTAATTCAAACGTGGGCAAAATTTTATATTGCCAGTCACACATACATGCATTTATTAGACCAGTTCTGGCTAGTTAACCATGGCCCCGCTTCTTGCTTTATTTTATTTATTTTCTTTTTTTTTTAAATATATTGTTGCAAAATTAAAAAGAAATTACAAAAAAGAGATCGAACACGTAACAAGAACACACAAATTTTTACTTGTTTTACCCAAAATTAGGATTACGTTCAAAGATTATAAGAATTTCGCTATAGTTATCAAAACAGCAGGAGATATAAAGAGTTCAAAATAAATAAATACTCTCACACTATAGCAACATAACAATGCAAAAATTATTAAAATACCCCTCAAAAAATTAAGGACTTCAATTATATTCGTTGTGCATTGTTGTTTCTTTTAAATGTTTGATTTCTTTTATTTATAATATATGGTGGATTGACATCAATATATATACACAGGTTGCCACCTTCATTCTTAGCATCACATTAAAATAATGGATTGATTCTGTTAAGATATACTCTATTTGGTTAGTAGAAAAAGCTCAATGAAGATGTCAACATAACCTTACTTTTTCTAGTATATAATGGGACCCTCGCATTGCATGATGCTGGTTGGGGTTGTGACATGAATCATTGTTTTCTTTCATTAAAAGTTTTTAAGTAAATATATTCACTTGGTTTGATTTTAGAACAATGATCAACAATTTGGAGCCCATTCTAATTTTGAAAATGCATGAAAGATGTTCTTGTTCATTTCAAATTAAAATCCCTATGCTACTGACACTTTTTGAAGAGAAATTTTGAATTGCAACTTCCTGGTCAAATTTACTGTTTAAATATTTGTTTGGTTTGAGAAAGAGAAACATCCTAAAATAGATCAAAGAAAGAAAGTGAGACATAAACGAAACATCTTTAATTAGACATGTTTGATACACGTTTTGTTTTTGGTATTTTTATTTTTATTAGATATTGTAACAGTGAACGAATAATGAAAAAACACAGTTGCTAAAATAGAAAGTAAGAGATGAATGAAACATTTTTAATTAGACATATTTGGTTCGCGTCTTTTTTTTGATATTTTTATTTTTGTTAGATATTGTAACAGTGAACAGTGAAAAAACACAGTTGCCAAAAACGTTTTGTGAATAGTGGCAAAAAATTAAAATACTAATTTGATAATTTTTTTGTTTCTGCAGTAATATTTGGTATTGTAGCCATTTTGATATATATATATAAATTAATATGTCGAAATGAATATTTTTCTCATTCCTCTTCCTCCCACTGTCCGATAGAAACAAAATGATAGTTTGGAGAGGGATGACTCATCCTTCCTGCCTTTTTCATCTACAAATCAATAGAAAGTTGTTACTTCTCTCCTACTCTTCCCTCCAACCTTTAGAAGCATAAATCTCTGGCGAGCTTAATTAGCACTATATGGTTTTTGGTTGGAAAGAACAAAAAGGTCGCACTCAGTGCCTCGGTGGATTCAGTACAGTTGAGACATTTTCAAGCCTGAGGCTAGGGTTTGGTCTGATGGGTCCCAATACACCTGTTCTGGGCCACACATACAGTACTGATGCACCAACATTGCAATTAATGGGACCAAAACAAAAGATGTCCAAGTGCTTCTAAACCTGTTCTCATATTGCACCACCACCACATTGACAGTACTGAGCCACAAACAAAACACACACTGCCAATTCCTTTCCATATATGGTTCAGTAAATACAGAATTGAACACGTATATTTTTTTCTTCCACAATACAATTTAAGAATAATGATAGGGAGTCCTCAGTTGAATAAATCCGAGATATAAATAATATCTATCACCACTAACATAAATCAGTTGGAGTTGTCGACGTCTTTCGAATTCCCAATCATTATCCCAAAACTTATATAGTAAAAGGAAACTAGAGATGCATGCTTCAATTTACGGAAACACCTTTGAGAAAGATAAACACGTTGTAAAAGAACCTCCCAGTATGGACAACCTTGTATCAGATACATTTCTGCAACATACATATGTTGCTATTCATTACCCAACAAACCACTCTCCTCATAGTTCTTAACAGCGTCGACAATGGTCTCTTCTAATGGCCTAAACTTCCATCCCAAATTCTGCAACTTCTCGGAACTAATCTTCACATCCCGCTTTACTTCAGTAAAACTGTCAAGATGTCATCAGATACAAATATTAGTAAATTACGACTAATAATAAGAGTGCTACACGTTGTTGATGGATGAGATTGACTTATATTCTATGCCATTAGTTTACTCCATTTTCAGTATTCCTGCAGTCAGAAGCTGTAGGATTTGATATCTGTAACATAAATAGTTCAACTTACCTTTTTGGGTAATTGTAGTTGGGATACATGCCCTTCAACATTTCCACCAAAGCCCTTGATCGAACCGTATGTGATGAACATATATATCTCCCCTCTGCTTCAGGCTTTTCATATGCCAGGAGGATTGCATCGGCCACATCACGCACATCTACAACAATACGATCTTCGTCTTCCACAGATTCTTTTCCATCTGGTTTCCATACCAGTTCAAGGATATCAATGATAAAGTAGCAAGACATTTATACCTAATAAAGAATGCCAAATCAATCAATCCTTAAAATACATTGCAGCCAGCTTATGAGCATACACTGTTTGACTAATGAAATTCCCCGCTATCTTTTCAGCAATTGTTTGACTGCACTTGTGTTCGTGGCAGTCCAAGGGAGCTGTCACCCTTCTTCTCTCAATTAAACCTCATTTCCTTTGTTAAAAAGTCGTAGTACCTCGTGTTTTATGCTTATCTTGACTATACGCATCTTTCCTCCTTATTAGAATCCGTTTTTTTGAGTTCGGGTTTGAGGTCAAGTTTGGATTTTGGTATGTCCTCTTTGGAGTTTAATGTTCACCGTGTTGTCCCTGACATAACCTAGGAGTATCATCGGATTCAGAGTACTTTTCTTTCGGTAAGGATTTGAGATTTTCATCTCAAATGGAGGTAGGGGGTGTTATAGTTTCATATTTTATTATCTTGCATGCTAATAATGCTTATACAACTTGTATGCATGCTTTTATTCATAATCTAAAATTTAATTTAATTATTTTCTTTGTGTAAGATTTAATTCTTATGATGGTATTCAACTTAGAATTAAATTGTGACATGTTAGAAATTTAGGCCTTGGTATGGTGGTTGATATATATTAAATTGGGATTATTTGAATAAGAATTGCAACTTTTATTTAATATTTATCTTTGGTGAAAGTTTAATTCACATAGTTGTATCAAATATGAAATAAACTTGTAAAGTGATATTAAAGTAAGACTTGGTGAGTTCTTAAACGTATGTTAATTTGAGAGCATTTGGAGTTGTTTAAAAATCTAGAAGAAATTAATTAATTAGCTTAATTAATTTTATTTTAAGTGTTTTAATTACTTAATTAGTTATTTGATGTTTATATGTGATGACCATGATATGTCCTTCAACATATATAAATTTGAGGTTATTTGGAATTAATTTGGAATCTAGAGAATTTAATTATTTTTATTTAATTAAATTCTATCTAATTGCTCCATGGATTTAATTGTGTTTTGCAAGTTGTTTCTATGTTTAAATCATAGACTTGGACTTGTTGTATATTCATTTACTTACATTTTGAGTATTGAATAAGATAGTTGTTATATTTATATTCATGAGAATATGTTTTCCTTATTGAATATATCATTGTCTTGTTTAATGAGTTGCACATTTTGTATTTGACATCTTTCATGCCATAATAGTTATGGACTTAGAAAATGTATTGTATGTGTTTCCAATTTTAGTTGTGCATGGTAGATAGTTGATTATCTTATATATACATATTGGTATATACGTTGTTGCACAACTTGTTGATTTTGGAAACTTGGGGATGTCGTTGTTTGATTAAGGCTGTGACATGGTTCTAGTACGGGGGATTGTCCCTCTATAAGTCTAGTGCGCACATAGGGAGGTTAGCCGTGAGCTAGTAACCCTAAAGTAACTATAGTGTCGGTTTGATCTGGCGTGACGTCCAAGCATCCACCTGGTTTGATTTCGCATTTCATTTCAAGTTGATAACAAGATGATATCGTAACTTGTTGTTCCTTGTTTAATTTTCCATTTTGAGTTTCAAGATGTTAACTTAAGAAATCATGCTTTATACGTGGTATTGGAAGTTCCAATATTGGTTAAATTGCATCGATATCGTGACTTGTGTTTTATTGTTCTAATGTAACTTAGGATGATTCCTTAGACTCATTTGGAATATAGACGCTAGGTGGCATGACCCACTTTAATTATTTTTGTATCTTAGATTGCAAATTGATACTATTGAGAACCTATATCTTGTCGCGTTGTATAGTATGCTTCTATATGGTTAAATTGCATGAATGAGGTGATTTATGCTAGAAATGATCTAAGGTAGCTTAGTATGTTCCCCGAGTCTCATTTTGACATAGACGTTAGGTGGTATGAGTGATCGGTATCGTCGATTACAATTTATAATCAACCCTCTGCAATAGCACAAATCATTGTAAAATAGGGCTATTGGTCGGCTAAGTCGAACCACTGGGACTGCTAGTTTATGACAACTTAGGTGTCTAGAATCATTTTTAGAATGATAAAGGGGTAACGAGGATTTGTTAGTTTGTCACTTAAGCTAGGAATTGAGAAATGCATAAAACAGTAAATTGCAAGGAGTTTAGAAAGAAAAGATCTAGATAGAGAGGTCTAGGGAAGTGAATCCACTCTTACCCTTTACACATGCTAAGTATATGATTGAATTGGGGAATTAATGTCTATATGTGACCATGATACATAGCAACACATGATTACTACAATATCTTCAAGAAATTCAATTAATCACAGGGTAAGAATAACCTATCAAAGCTTCACATGCTTGAGTTATCTAGACTATGATATAACCTTAGACATGCTCACTGAGTTAGAGATTATCAAACCCTCAATTAAATGGTAAAAGCATATGGAATCAAGATACAAGATTAACCCATCAAAAGAAAGTCTTAAGCTATGGATTAACAAATTTCACAAAAACCATGCCATTAAAACCATTCCATAATCTTGTTTCCATTGTCACTATGAAAATACTAGCCATACAACCATGAGAATAAATAATCTAAGACAAGAACATTTGATTCAACATGATCATTTATAAGTAAAAACATTCATTACAAATTATAATATACTCTAGATTATGGAACTTGGCCATACATACATTTCATTCCCCAAAACAAATCAAAAATTAAACATGCTTACAAGGAAGGGTTTCATCACCTCCCTAGATGGAGGTTTAGTTACCCATTAATGCTAGAAAGGAAGAGAATGAAGAAGAAAAAGCCTCCATTGCTGCACCTTAACTCCAAGAACACAAAAACCTCTCCACCTTCTCTCTAGCTTTTCCAAAAATGTCACCCCCTAAGAATGAGATGACCTTCCCCTCTTTATCCATTCAAAACCTACTCCCTATACCCACAATCCCGAGCTCCCCCCTCTGCATGAAGCTAGACCACACAAAAGAAGGATAAGGGAACCAAAAAGCTGGAAATCAGGGGCAGTTGAACTGCCTTGCTGCAGTTCGGCGGGAGCCCACGAGGCGCGGGCGAGGGGTTGTGAATTCAAAGAGGGCATTGGCGTGTTTGGCGGGCGCCCGCGGGGCCTCGCCAAATGAGGCAGAAAGTTGAGGGGATCAGCGGGCGCCCGCGGTGGCGCGGCGGGCGCCCGCGGAAGCTTGCCACTGCACTATAAATCAAGGCTTCTCGTAAGCCTTTCCGAGCCGGAGCGTTGACGCGGCTTCCACTATGAACACTAAGCCACGAACCTCACAAAAACGGCGACTGAAGAGGTTAGGTCCCGAAGATGACTTCCCGAAACGGCGCACGTATTTCAACAAAAAGTTGTCAAAACTGCTTCTTTAATTACATTCGGGGAAGCTGACCTGAAACAAGCCAAAAGTACACAAATGAAGCTAAACTGTACATTAAACTCCACTAATGGACTTAACTAATGCAAGTAGGGGCACTTAAATATGCAATATTTGGCGCTTATCACACCCCCAAACTTACATTTTGCTAGTCTCTTAGCAAAGCAAAATAAAGAACTTAATAAAAATGACACCAATGAAATGCTGACAACATGCATCAGTCATGAAACAAGAAATTTATCTATGAAGTTCAAATGTAACTTGGAACGGCAGAAAATTGGAGGAAGTTCCATTAAACAGACTACCTTGCATATATGAAGCCTTGATAATCAAAATGGCAAGACAAGATCAACTTTAATACATCAATCCTCAAAATCTATATAAAAACTTCAATTGTCATCTCTTGAATAACATGAACTCTAACTTCAGTGAAAGTAAGCCGTATTCCCAATATGCGGCTTTTATCCTCTTTTTCCAATCCCAAGAACACATTTTCACATCATTAAATCTCCTTCTAAATGAGGTCCCCAAGGCATAACTTTATTCACAATACAACTTTTGTTGCTTATTGAAAATTTTATTCTAACTTAAAATGAAACATACTATGGTTGTGCAATGTCAAAAATCCCTTAAGCTTTCTAACCAACCCATGTAGCAAGTGTTGAGCCAACAACTCCCAAGCCAGATGGCTTTAGGGTGCTAAATGTAGAAATATTTCTAGGGTTTAATAACTCAAGTCGGAAAGGCTACGAACTTCGACGAACCAGATTTATTTATTTTTGAATAACCGTGTAATGTCTAAGTTCTTTAAGCTTTCTAACCAACCCATGTAACAAGTGTTAGGCCAACAACTCCCAAACCAGATGGCTTTAGGGTGCTAAGGGTAGAAACACTCCTAGGGCTTAATAACTTGAGTTGGAAAGGCTACGAACTTCGACTGGTCATTGATATACATATATATATTGATATACATATATATATATACATATATATATATATATATATATTTGCATATGCCAAGGGTATCCATTCATTAGGTCATCAATTCAGATCACTGAGTCCCGATCAAGGTCAATTTAGGTTGCATGCCTCACAATTAGGTTTTCGGTGTGCAAATGTGCAATGTGAAGCATAACAGAGTATGAAATCTGACGAAAATTTAATTGAAGTCTTTATACAAACCGATTGTGAATCAACATGCTTATTTCAAAAGTTTCTTTATTTTCAAAAATTATCTTGGCTTCTATACACAAGGTATTAAGCATATGTTTTAACCTTCAAAAAGTTCCATGATTACACTATTATTACTTTAAACAACATGATTTTATTAACTTACGAGCATAAAAAATGAGCAAAAATCATCAAAACTGCAATAACATGCACATGCACCAAAAATGTAATAGCATGCACATGCACCCCCAAACTTGAATGTCACATTGTCCTCAATGTGAGAAGACAAGGGACAAGCAAAGAGAATGAACAAAGGGGGAAAGGAATAATAGTACCAAGTTGAGAGGATTGGAGTGGCGGTGCAAAAATAGGCCACCTCGTGAATTCCATGAGCATGCCCCGAAACTTGGTTTCAAAAACCTGTCAAAAGACATCTATACATAGCAAGAATCATATGAATCCAAATTTAATGAAAATAACTGCAATTTATACGAGTA